AGGTATCGCTAATTAGCCAAAAGTTCGTTAGCAGATATCTCGCTAATTAGGAGGCCTAGAGAAAAAATTTTTCATTTCTGATCGTTTCTCATGGGCCTCAACAACATACAAAAATTTTGAACAAAATCTGAGAGATTGAGGTTTTTTTTTGGTTGATTTGACATGGAATTACCCTATTGCCTGCCTCCCTCCTACCTGAAATGTAAGTGGCTACCTGGTAGGGTTAGAATGCCAATGCACTGAATAGTTACTGTGATGTTATTTATAGAATAAAAATAGTAAAAACCGAAAGGTCCACTGATTAATCTCAGATAAGAAAGTATAATACATACTCCAAGTATTGAAATACACGCCATCGTGTTGGGATTCAATATTTCGACATTAATTATGTCATCATCAGGAATGAAAGTATAATACATACTCCAAGTATTGAAATACACGCCATCGTGTTGGGATTCAATATTTCGACATTAATTATGTCATCATCAGGAATGTTCAATATTTCGACATTAATTATGTCATCATCAGGAATGATCATTCCTGATGATGACATAACTAATGTCGAAATATTGAATCCCAACACGATGGCGTGTATTTCAATACTTGGAGTATGTATTATACTTTCTTTAAAATAGTAAAGGTACAGCTGTAGTATCGTTTAAATATTTCACAAGCACAAACCTAATACATTTTCTTAAATATTATACTATATTTATACACCTACCCTCTGAAGTTCTTTTTCACAGTCCCTAAGTAACAGTTCAGGAATATGTACATTGATATCGCTAGCATCCAATTTGAACCGATTTGCAGCACCCTCTACGATTGACTGCAAAACATCACGTTCTGGTTTCTGGGTAGTGTGGAGGTCGTCAACAGCTTTCCACAGTTCTCGAATCTACATTAAATTAAACAAAATGGTCATACTGTAGCTTGGTTAACCTTGTTTAATTGCTGGGTTCTTATTTTCCTTTGGTATGTTTATCAGAAGGATGGTGTGCTATTGTAAGTTATACTTCAGCTAAAAAGGAGTGCAGCAATAGAATGGAAAATGGGACAGACCTAATGTTTTCTCACTGTAGGATAACTACAAGTTTAGCAAATTGTCATTTGCAGCTTTCTTTTAGGTATCAAACACGGGTCTCTAAGTTAATAGTGAAATCTAGATTCAGACGGTATATTTTTAAATAAAAATCACTTTGTAAAGAACTATAAAATCAAAAACCATCATTTTTCGAATCAAACATGTCACCTTGTGAACTTTCTTGGTTCTTTGAATTGCTTGGATCTCTGGTTCCCCTTCAAAACATTCTCCAGACTGGCGACGTCTCACTGGGGGTGGGCTCCCTCGAGCTTTTGCCAAATGATTTGCCTTGTCGTACTGATCTTGTAATTTTTGTTCTAATCCACGTATGGACTTGCTTAATGTACGGTGCTCTTTTGTCAACTCCCTAAGAGTAAATAATCAATGCTTCATGTATACATACGATGAGAAATGTGGAAACATTTCCAAGGTTCGATATATTGGAAGCTTGACCTTTCAATGAACAGATTAAGTGCAAAAAAAAAAAGAAGCTTAAATAGTGATTAAATTCACTTTCAACAAGCCTAAACTTCTTACAATTGTATTGAGTGTTTCAATTGCAATATGTGTTTGTTTTCAATATAACCTATTTCTTACCTTGCCTTTAATGCAATTGTTGTTTTTTAAAGGTTACTGTATATGTCAAACACTGATCTTGTATTATTTTAATTGTTTATTTTTCTCCTTAATTAGAATCTTGTTCCTTTATATACTAATAATAGCAGTAAGTAATTTACTGAAGTTGCATATCATTCAAAATCACACTAATGGAAATTATTAAACGAAGCTTAGATTAATGCAAATTGAAAAAAATTGATGGAGAGCTCACAGTTTGAGGTACAGTACAATGATGACTTCTTGATTGACTTATAATTATGATTATTTTACAATTGAATACTTACGCCGCATACTGAGTCCATTGGTCTTGCATGGCCGCTGTCTCCTGTAACTGCTGAAGAAATCGTTTACGATGACGAATAGCTGATGCCCCCACTGTCTTCACCATCACGCTACCAAGATGTTTAGACGATGGCACCAACCGAGGACGCTGTAACAAATCACGACTCTTTAAACCTGAAATATGAGAAGGAATGATAGACAATATCATAATAGATATGTACAAACTAGGGAATGGAAATTTTTAATATTCTCAAATGATTTCATCTAATAAAGGTATGTTCATATTTAATGTATATACAGTATTATCTCTATATAAATGCAGGGTTGTAACTGAAGAAAACTAAGGGTGGATGATAGAAATTTTGAGGGTGGGTGCATAACATTGGTAAACTCTAATTATAAGAGTAGATTTTAAGGATGGAAAAGTGGGCTAATAAGTGTTTATAATAATAATAATAATAATAATACACATTTTTAAAGCGCCTATAAAAGCAAACAAAACTGGCTTGTCACCGGCGCTGGATGTTAGAAAGAAGTTGAACTATTTGAAGAGGAATGATTTAAGAGTAGATTTGAATAATTCCGGATCAGAAATGATACGTAATTGAGGAGGCAGAGAGTTCCAGAGTTTAGGAGCAGAGAAAGAAAAAGAGCGTTCACTGGTACGAATATGCTTGACTCGTGGAGTAACAAGTTTGAGGGATTGAGAAGAACGAGTAAAACGGGAAGAAACCTGTTTGTCTATAAGCGAACAGAGATAAATTGGGGCACGACCATGGATAGATTGTTGGGTGAGAAGAAGAATTTTAAAAATGATTCGCTTATCAACTGGAAGCCAGTGAAGAATGTTTAAAATTGGCGTTTGTGGAGGGTATTGAAATTAGCTTTAGACTGGGTGGAAAACTTCAATGCTGTGTGGTCTTGCCCACCATAACTCCATCCCTGTTAATGGATAAAATATGTACCAAACTAAGTTTCTCTTTATCTATATCAGTACTACACTTTGATTGTGGAGCTGTAGTTGGTGGTCAGAATGCTTCCCTCATAAATCCAAGGTCCTTGGTTCAATCTGGGCAAAGATCTCAAGATTTTTCAAACAACCCAAATTAATGTACTTCTAAAACCATATAAATCTATTTGACCATAAATTATAATTGCGCTGGTGTTAATTGATGACTTTCATTCCATAAGCCTCATAAAAATGCTTGGATGTATAGATAATCGAACTGTGTCCTAAATAATTCTGTAGCCCTCCAGTCACCAAGTCATGGAATTGTTTATAGACCAAGATTAGATCTCCCCCCTTACAATCCTTATAAACAGAATTATATAGCATTAGCAGTGAGGGTCCCAAGGAAGTGGTGAACTCTCCACTAACCAAGCCCCATACAGTAGTCTTCATTATACAGCATCCTGAATGATCAGCATACTTGTAACTCCTCATAAACAAATTTAGTTCTAGAAAATCTAGGGTGCCAAATGATCTGGTTTGCTGGCTGGTTTACACACGTTAAATTATAATGATTAAAAAAAAACACTCACCGTGTGATGATTTTGCCACTACAGTAAGAACATGAGCAGACAGATGAAGCAGAAGATTGTAAAACTTGTCTCCAGAGGGTGACATTAATAATGAGGGTGCTATCCATGGAAGATAAGCTTCACCACTATCCTATAAATTGTATTGAAAGACATTTAAGTTGGACTTGTTAATGAAGCAAATACCTTTAAAAGTCCAGCTCAAGTCTACAATCTCATAACATACTTAGGCAGACTTGGATCTAACCATGTTGGGCATTTTGTATTTGTTCTCAGTTTAGGAACACTATTTCTGCTAATTTTGTGTCAATACTTACCTTTGTAATCTCAGTAAGCCAATTAGTAACTGCTCTTCGAAACAACTGCTCCTGTTTTTTGTCACATACTGGATAGCACACTCTACAACATAAAAATATGGTAATCATAAAATTGGAAAACATAATGGTGTCAATATCATTACATACTTGGTTAACTACAATCACGCTACCGCCAGCAGCTTTTGGTGATGCAGATTGGTCGATAGAATCGGGGAGCCTTCCTGATTGCGCTGGGGACTGCTGAACAATTGCACTGAAAACACTGTAGCGACAGTGTAGCGATCGTCTTTACACTGTAATCAATCAACATTCATAGTTAAAATTGTATCCATGTATTACTTAAAACAATACTGTACATTAATATCCACTCACCAGTTCATGGCAAATCATTTGTCTATGTAGATCAGTATAACCACTGTCTCTTATACACATCTAGATGTGTATAAGAGACAGACATACACTGCAGCCTCTGGAAATTAACATTGTCTCTTGCAGTCTCGCAAGGTGAACATGAAAAAAGTAAACAAACCTGAATCGTTCTTTAGCCAAGGCTGGGTTGAGTCGTGTCAACAGGAAATACATGACAACCTCAAATGCTTTCTTGTTTGGCATGGCAAACATGTCCCTGCAAAGCAATCGCAACATCATTTATTATCAATGAAAAGCAGTCCTTACATTAGTCAATCTTGTAGCCATACAAACACTAAATAACTTATAGTATTCATGTACCCATGACAACAAACATCATCATACAATATACAAGTCATTCATGTTCCCATAACAACTACTGAACCTTATACAATATTCATTACTCATGTACCCATGACAACAAACATAGTATAAGACAATAATGTAGCCATGACAACAAATAATATAATTAATCATAACCATAATTTACGGAGTCAATCATGTGGCCATAACAACAAACATCATAATAGATACAGTATTAGTAATTCAGGTAGCCATGACAATGACTATCATATTGTACCTTGGCAATAAACATCATCATGTACCAACAGACATCATGTAACAACATAACATAGTAGAATTCCTGTAGCCCCGGTAACATATCTTATTTGTGTAGCAGTGACAGCACTGTATACCTACAACTATACAGTACATTTATGTTGCCATGAGAACAAGCATATGTACCTTAGTATTATTTTAAACCATTATGTAAGGGACTATGGCATAAAGCTAATTTAGGGAGTCAAATTACAGTAGTTTATATACAGTAGCCTCTTCCACTGGTGATCCCATTTGTTATACCATGTATTATTGAGTTGTTTTGTGGAAATAAACATTGAATATTCATATTACATCATAATAGCTTTATTTAACAATGCACCATAACAACATTATTGTATTCAATATATTAAAATAGTTACTCATGGCAAACAATCATCATCATGTATTAATGGAATAAATAAAGGTAAATTAAGATTAGCCTATTATTCGTTGATTTGGATTATATTATGAAAATAATAAAAATAAAAATATGATAATTACAATACCATAAATGGGAGTTAAGGGGCTGTGGTGTGCAGCATATAGAACTGATAAAGCTTCAGTGCAACATATATTGTACCACATAAAAACTGATAATTTTTATGTGAATTTGGGAGCATTTTACACTTACTTTGTGAATGGAATAGAATACTTGGCTTTCATAGCACCAGGTTTGAATCCTAGAAGAAGTATGTTGCTAAAGAAAATACTCCTTTGACCCAATCGATCACTACCCCTTCTATCAACCTTTTTCTTGTTCATTTTTCATTCAAATGTTCTAAATAACAATGTTGTTGAAGAAAAAAAAAATTTAATTTTTGAAAATGCTGAATTAAAGGTTATGACATTTTTATTAATATTCACAAGACTAGCACATAGTAACTTTCCAAAAAAAAAACCCAACATGTAAATATATATTTTAGGCATATTTTTCCTCTTTAAAACAAGACTCATTTTGCATAAATATAATTAATTGCTACTTTGTTGAGAAAGAATTATTTTACAGTGTACAAGTAATATTAGTAATAGTAATTATCAATCCACTCTTTAAAATTACTCATATATGATGACAAGAGGGTCAACAGAATCAGTCTACTCATTGTTAACTACTGTTAGGTCTGCTTATTAGTAGTACTAGGAAGGAGTAACCCTGCTGCTGGGGGTTGGGACAACTTAGACTAGGAGGACAGGAGAGAATGCTGCAGTTCTAATCTCATCTGAAAGCGGACACATTACGGTAGAAAAAAGGTGAGATAAGCCTAGATAGTGAGCAATTGTAAGCAATAGACTGTGCACATATTTGTCATCTGAACTAAAATCTATATAAATTAAAAGAATATATATATAAGATGTGTATAAGAGACAGTCACTCATGTACCCATGACAACAAACATTGTATAAGACAATAAAGTAGTCATGACAACAAATATTATAATCAATCATAACCATAATTTATGGAGTCAATCATGTGGCCATAACAACAAACATCATAATAGATACAGTATTAGTAATTCAGGTAGCCATGACAATGACTATCATATTGTATCTTGGCAATAGACATCATCATGTACCAACAGACATCATGTAACAACATAACATAGTAGAATTCCTGTAGCCCCGGTAACATATCTTATTTGTGTAGCAGTGACAGCACT